AAAAAAAAAAAAAAAAAGTTGTTTGGAGTTGTTTGACCAAATATGTCCTAACATGAATAGGAGGTAGGGTTTGTAAATCAGTGGAATTACTACAGTAATGAGGTTTCTGTAATGGTAATAATAGAATAATAATTATTTAGTGCTTTCTTGGGCCAGAAGTTGTTCTGAGTGCTTTATGAATATTAACTCATGAACTCCTCACCATAGCTGTAGGAGATAGCCACTATCATTCCCAGTTTTTAGGTGAGACACCGAGGAGAGAATTTAAGCAGCTTGTCCAGGGTCACATGGTGAGTTGGTAATAACTGTTGAACTCAGATAATATGATGCCATGCTCCGTGTTCTTAAACCAGTAGGCTCTATTTTGTCTTCCTCCTGGATGACTCTGGAACACGCAAAAGCAACTCAACCAATGTCCTGGGTATTTTCTTTACACTTGCTAGTGATGCACTTCCAAAGTGAAGGGTAAAACTCGTTGTGAGAATAAAATTGGTATTGCCTGGCTTGTCAAAGTAAATCGTGAGTGGTAATATTTCTAAAATCTAGTTTGCACACATAAAATCTATTATATGGTTTTTACTCATTTTGCCCTAATTAGGCAAAAAGCTAATCAGAGGTAGAAAATCCAGTTTTGACCATACAGTCTTATGTATTTGAACCTTTAGAATGTCACTGTCTTCCAACACTTTAAAAGACTGATTGATCTAAGAAGACGAGGAGAGCCACGTCAGATAGTGAGATACATCAATCCTAAAGAGGTGAGGACACTGTTTATTCATACAGCATCTGTGTTTTCCCTTCAAGATGTGTGGCTGCTTTATAAATGTGCTCGTATTTGTTTCTTTTAAAACACTTTTTTATTGAAGCACGTTATAGAAAAGTTCATGAAACATAAATCTATAAGGTCACTGAATCATCACAAACAGCCCCCTGTGTAACTTACATAACCCAGATCAACGTTTCCTACTTGAAACCACTGCCTTCCAGGCTTTGCACATCACCGCCAATTTCCCTGCTCCCGAGAGGCAACCACCATTTTGTTGTAGCTTTTTTTTCTTTAGTTTTCTCTGTTTTTGAACTGTATGTAAATAGAATCTTATGGTGCGCTTTTTGTTCATTCAGCATTGTGTTTGTGTAGCTGAATTGTATTTATTTTATGAAAAACAATGATAATTATTTCATTATACACACACACACACTACTGTTAATTCATTCAGTGGTTGACATTTATACATATATATTTTTTCCAGTTTGAGTCTGTTATAAAGATTGCTTTGGGGAACATTCTTATTCATCTGCCCTGGTGCATATGTGCATGAATTTCTTTTGGTTTATATTCTACCTAGAAATGGAATTTCTGGGTAACGGGATCTGCCAAACTATATTCCAAAGTTACTGTACAATTTGTATTAACCATCATCCGTCTCTTGGAATTCTTGGTGCTTTACATCCTTATCAGTGTTTAATTTCAGCTTTTTAATTTGCCTTTCCCTGATAGCTAGTGAAGTTGCACATCTTTGTGAGGAGTTCCGCTCCTGGTTACAATCCTGTGTGCTCTTCCAGGCCTGACCAGACACAATTACAGGGACTATATCCAACAGGCCCCACACGGGAAGGCTGTCCCCTCCTCACAATCAGACTTGGTGCATGGCAGTGTCCTGCAGCCTCTCAAGGGAGCTCAGGCTGGGACTCAGACACCCTGGACGGAACCCCCGACATATTTAAGTATCTAGTCCCAGCACTTTCATTTTTAGTTCTTTATCTGAGGCTTTGAGCTGAGGTCTTCAGACACCTCTGCTGAGACCTCTTTATGGGGGAAACCTTGAAGACCCTTTTCCCACTCTGACTCAGTCCACTCAGACTGTCCTCCCTTAATCTCCTACATACCTCTTACCCCGAATATACACACCTTATGGTCCCTAACACTGCTGGAGCCTTTTGTTCAGGATTCTGTGCTGATCCACCTGACTCTCTGTCACTGCACTGCTCACGGTGCGGGGCGGGGGGGAGTGGGGTGAGGGTGAGATGGAACAGGCGGATTGGTGCCTCCTCCTCTAGTTGTAGACGCCCTAACTCTTGCTTATTACCATGTAGTAAGTGGTCAAAAGCTTTCTTTCCCTTTGTGCTTGTTTCCTTAATTGGCTACTCTGACACTGACATCTCACCTACTGTTCTTCCAGATCAGCTGAGCTCCTGACATTTTTTCGGTGTCTTTTATGTGTATATTGTCTCTTATTCCTACTAGTTTAAAGCAGTTCTTTATATAGTCTTCATAAAAGTCCTTGTCGTTTCGTGTTCCATTCTGTGATTTGACTTGTCACTCTTAGGATGGTCCTCACTGTGTGTTTTTTATCATGAAAAATGGCAAACATATTACAAAAGTCGAAAGAATAAAGTAATAGACTACAGGTACCTATCACCTAGCGTCAACAATTATCAATTCCCCGCCAGTCTTGCTTCATCTATATTTCCAACCTCTTTCCCCAATCCCTAGGTTAGTATTTTGAAACAAGAATGTCTTTTGGTGAACAGAGTTCTTAATTAAAATTTTTTTAATGTTTTTTATTTTTGAGAGAGAGAGAGTGTGAGTGATGGGTGGAGGGGGCAGAAAGAGAGGGAGACACAATCTGAAGCAGGCTCCAGGCTCTGAGCTGTCAGCACAGAGCCTGACGCGGGGCTTAAATCCACAACCACGAGGTCATGACCTGAGCTGATGTCGCATGCTTAATCAACTGAACCACCCAAGTACCCCCAGGGTTCTTGATTTTCATGTACTTAAGATTATCAGTGGTTTTGTTTATGATTGGCGCTTTTTATAAGCTTCGCCAATCCTGAAATCACGAAAGTATTCTCCTATATTATATAAACTTTATTGATTTTCTTTTCATATTTAGATATACAAACTACTCGGGATTCATTTTTTTGTGTATGGTGTGGGGTAGAGATCCCTTTCATATTCTTCCTTATAGGTATCAAAATGATCAAACACTGTTTATTAAAAAGATAGTCCTTTCTCCACTGCCTCCACTGCTCTGCCATGCCACTTTTATCATAAATCAAGTAACCAGTTATGTATGAGTCTGTTTGTGAATTCTCTATTACCTTCCATGATCTATTTTTCTACCCTTGTTATAATTACTTTGAGTTTGTAACAAGTATATTATATGGTAGACAATACTCCCATTTTGTAGTTCTTCAAGAAGACACTTCCAGGCTATCGTTGGATGCTTTGTATTTCCATGTAAATTTTATTTATTTTTTTAAGTTTATTTAATGAGAGAGAGAGAGAGAGAGAGAAAGCAAGCTAGGGAGGGGCAGAGAGAGGGAGGGAGAGAGAATCCTAAACAGGCTCTGCACTGTCAACACAGGGTCTGTGGGGCTGGAACCCATGAACCATGAGATCATAACCTGAGCCAAAATCCAGATTGGATGCTTAACTGAGCCACCGAAAACCAGGCACCCCTGTGTTTTTGGTATTTAGAGTAATGGTATTTAGAGTAGTGTTAGGAACTGTCTCCTTTGCTTCTGTTTTCTGGAAGAGATCGTAGAAAATTGATATTTTTTTTCCTTAAATGTTTTGTAGAGTTTACCATTGAACCCATTGAGGCTTGGCGTTTTCTTTTTTGAAAGGTTAATTATTCATTCAGTTTCTTTAATAGGTATTAGTCTATTCAGATTTTCCATTTCTCCTGTGTGAGTTTTGTCAGGTTATGTCTTTCAAGGAATTGAACCATTTATCAAATCTGTGGGAATAGAGTTTTTCATAATATTTGTTAATTATCCTTTTACTGTCCATGGAATCAGTAGTGATGGCCCCTCTTTTCTGATATTAGTCATTTGTGTCTTCTTCCTATTTTTTCCTTCTTAGTTTTGTTGTACAGAAGCTTATTGGTTTTATTGAGCTTTATTGGTTTTAATTTCTTTCATTTTTCTCTGTTGATTTCCTGTTTCAATTTCATTGATTTCTGTTTTTTTATTCTTGACTTTTGCTTACTTTTGATTTAATTTGTTTTCCTAGTTTCTTAAGATGGAAACCTACATTATTAATTTCAAGTCTTTCTTGTTTTCAGATATATGTAGTTAGTGCTATAAATTTTCCCCTAAGCACTGTTTTCAGTGCATTTCACAAAATTTGATAAGCTGTGTTTTCATTTTAATTTAGTTCAAAATATTTTAAAATTCTCTTGAGACTTCCTATTTGATCCACCTGTTATTTAGAAGTGTGTTGTTCACTGTCCAAGTTCTGGGCATTTTCGGACTATCCTTCTGTTACTGATTTCTAGTTTAATTACATTGGAGTCTGAAAGCATGCTTTGTATGATTTCTCTTATTTTACAGTTGTTAAATTGTACTTTATGGTCCATAACATGTTCTATGTTGGTAAATAAAAGTTCTCTGTAAGCTTGAGTAGAATGTATGTTTGCTGTTGTTGGATGAAGTGTTGTAGAAATCTAGATCCAGTTAATTGAAAGTGTTCTTCATTTTCACAATAGACTGCTGAATATGTCAATTAATGATAAAGAGGTGTCAAATTCTCCAACTATAATAGATTTCTCTAGTTCTCCTTGCGGTTCTTTCAATTTTTGCCTTCATATTTTGATACTATGTTGTTAGGTATATATACTTTATGGATTGTTATGTCTCCTCAGAGAAGTGGCCACATTATCATCTTGTAATACTCTTCTTTATCCCTGATGATTTTTCTTGCTCTGAATTCAGCTGTCTGTGAAATTAATACAGCTTCTCGGTTTTTGTTTAATCAGTGTTAGTTAATATGTTATATCTTTCTCCATTACTATGCTTTTACTCTGTCTGTGTCTTTATATTTTAAATGGTTTTCTTACAGACAACATGCAGTTGGGTCTTTTTTTTTTTTTTTTTTTTTTTTTTAATCTATTCTGTCAGTCTCTGCCATTTAACTTGTGTATTTAGACCATTGATATTTAGTATGGTGATTGATGTCTAATATATTTAATGTTTTCTATTTCTTGCCCTTGTTCTTTGTTTCTTTTTTCTATTACACCCTTTTTCTGTCTTCTCTGGTTTTAATTGAGCATATTATATGATTACATTTTCTTTCCTCTTAGCATATCGATTATACCTCTTTTTTACTAATTTTTGGTTCCCTAGAATTTGCACTGAGTATTTACAGCTAATCTAAGTCCATTTTAAATAACAGTATTGCACTAAATGAAATTCCCCATAGGCATAGGAGACAGAGTCATGCTTAAGGGAAAGGAACTGCCTCAAATACACAGCTGACTCTCATCCCCATTTGAGTTTGTAGATGGTAGGTAGAAAGATAAAGAATTAAGCTTAAATCTTCTCGAAGTACTTTTGAATTTCCCATAGGCTTTCATACTTGAAGAGATAGAGAGTTGCCAGGACCATATCTAAGAAATAGGGGAAAACTAGAAGTGGACAAACCAGACGTAGATTACTAAAACTGCAGTCCAGGCTTGAGCCAGCTAAATTTTTGATTGGATTGACATGATTAGCACCTCACCCTAACTGACTGAAATAGGAAGGAAAAAATTCCATGAAGCTGTACACTTAAGATTTGCCTACTTTACTGGACATAAAAGTATATATATAATGAATTTTGTTTAAAAAGTATATACAGTTGACCCTTGAATAATGTTGGGATAGGGGCAATGACCCCCCTGCCCATGCAGTAGAGAATCCATGTGTAACTTGTGACTCTCCAAAAACTCAACTACAGGGGCGCCTGGGTGGCGCAGTCGGTTAGGCGTCCGACTTCAGCCAGGTCACGATCTCGCGGTCCGTGAGTTCGAGCCCCGCGTCAGGCTCTGGGCTGATGGCTCGGAGCCTGGAGCCTGTTTCCGATTCTGTGTCTCCCTCTCTCTCTGCCCCTCCCCCGTTCATGCTCTGTCTCTCTCTGTCCCAAAAATAAATAAACGTTGAAAAAAAAATTTTAAAAACAAAAACTCAACTACAGATAGCCTACTGTTGACCGAAAACCTTACTAATAACATAGTCAATTAATATATATTTTTGTATGTTACATGTATTATACACTGTATTCACACAGTAAGTTAAGCTAGAGAACATAACGTGTTATTAAGAAGGCCATAAGAAGAAAATACATTTACAATGCTGTACTATAAAAAATCCACATATAAGTGGACCCGTGCATTTCAAACCCATGTTGTGTAAGGGTCACCTGTATAAATTTTATAAATGTAAGTTTAAGATCCTGTTATAAAACATATCTTTCACGATTGAACTATGACCCTACGTATGTATGTATGTATGTATGTATGTATGTATGTATGTATGTATATGCTTTTTAGTCAGGAGAAAATTATGCAAAACTTAAGGTAGTCTTTTAGGCTTTATAGACTGAATGATTTAGGATAATATGTATATTCTCATCTAACAGTACTATCAAGTGGTAAGCTTGAACTCTTCTGTTAGAGGACCCAAAATTGTTTTCTCTTTTACATTTGGTGCAAGGCATTAAAATTTAGGAGACCAATTCTATACAATTCTTAAAAAATTTAAGCATGGATTTTTGATTTAAGAAAAACTACTTAGGAACGGTCATCTTGTGTTAAACATGGATTAGCCAATGATATTTTTTTACTCTGAATTTACCTGTAAGATAAATACATAAGTCATATGTTTGAGGACTTATTTAAAATTTCTGTTTTTGGAATAACAAATCACTTGGCTTTTATACTTATATGTTGCACAGAAAGGGAACATATTTGGTATCATTTTTCCAGTTATAAAAGCTGTTTTACTTATTGGATGCCCATTAGAAATTAAATCTTATAATATATTTTAATTTGAAAATAATTATTTAAGGCTTATTTACTTGACCTTTTTCATAAATAATTAATATTCAGCGCTATTTTAGCATGATAGAGTGAGAAGTGGTGAGTTGATACACACAGAATTTTGAAGAGTAATGTATTTTTTTGTAGGCAGAGCTGCTAGATGCTGCTGCGGGCATTCATGTACGATTCAGATTAGGTGGTGTAAGTATGGGTGAATTCTTATTTGGTAATTTTAAAGCACATTTATATGAAATTTAAAAGATTTAAAATTTTAAAATATAAATCGTTTTTTGTGATTACAGTGGCCCTTTGAACTTTTCCATATACAGGTTAAATTTCCACCTGATATATACTATAAAATTTTCACTCATAGACCTATTGAAGATCTGTGTGCTAATAGCCCTAGAGATTATACAAAACTTCCAGCAAAATATACATCTCATATTAAAAGTAAAAGTGATAATCTTCAGGAAGAGGATCATCGTGGCTGGTATCGTCGTATAGAGAACAATGGCTGGAGGCTTGTCTCTGATACAGTAAGAAAATAAAAATATTAATAATTTTGAATCTTACATATTTAGTAACTCTTTTGTCTTTTTGAAAAATAATTTTAAAATAATAAATCTTGGTAATTTAACTGATAAAAACTGATGATGGTAAGTACTCAGAGGTTACTAATAATACTTCAAGATCAACAGTGTATCTTTTTTTTCTTTACATTTGCTTATACTTCTAGTAATCAGCTTTGATCTAGGCCATATTTAGATACTGTTTGGAACTCAGCAGTTTAGTATCTTTATAACAAAGCAAATTGGAAAATGTTGTTGACTCTATTAATCCTTGGACTAGAGGTGGGAATTTTTTTTTTTTTTTAGTGTTTATTTATTTTGAGAGAGAGAGAGGGCATGAGCAGGGGGAGGGGCAGAGAGAGGGAGAGAGAGAACCCCAACCAGGCTCCACCGTGTCAGCACAGAGCCCAACACAGTCCGATCCCACGAACCATGAGATCATGCATGACCTGAGCTGAAATCAAGAGTCAATCACTTAACTGACTGAGCCACCCAGGCACCCCTAGAGGTGGGAATTCTTAAGAAAAAGATGACATTTTCTCTTACAGAGCTTGTAACAACAGATACTGGTGGAAAATCATCTGGATGGTCATGGTGTTTGGAACTTTAACATGTCGTCATATTAATTGAATGGAATGATTTTAAATATACATAGTTCTTAATACAGATATGTGATGTAGGGACTTTTCCATAGACACCCATGTTTTACCTCCTATTTTTGTGGGGATAATTTCTACCTAAGCATGTTTGGTTAGGTTAACATGATCAGGTTCTATAGCTCTAGATGTCTGTTTATATGGCCTCATATCTTCATTCAAATTTTTAATCTCTGGTATGTAGATTATAGAAGGTAGTATATTAAATATACTAAGAATGAAAAGTGAGCATGATCGAGTTGTGTATTCACACATTTATTCAACAAATTTTATTGCATACCAAACATATGTCAGGCGTTGTACTAGATGCTAGGGATACAATGGTAGATAAAATAGTCCCTTCTCTCAAGTAGTTTGCCTTTTAATTTGGGGGAGACTTAAGTAAAAAAGAGTTTTTCAGTACAGTGTAGTAAATACGTGCTTTAATAGAGACAAATATGTAGTGCTGTGGGGGATAGAATATTCTCCTCCTTGTTTTTTAATATGTGGTGAAGGAGAGGCAATGAATTGGGAGGAGGAAAAATAGGCAACCAGTTAGGAGAGCATGTCATACAGGAAACCACAAACTCTTGGGACAAAATGATGAGACATTCCTGTTCTTGGAGGGTGCCTGTCCTCCCTGAGAATTAGAGTCTTCAAACGTCAACAGCACTGAGAGTAGGTGAGTTTGTTCTTACGAGTAAAGAGTTCGTTCTTATGAAAAACAAAAACACTATTGGAGTATGTCTTTTCATTTACCCATTCAACGAATAGTTATTAAGTACCTCAGTATGCTAGTGCTTTGTTAGTCTTTCTGTGACATGTGCCTCTGAAAGCTCAATGCGCTATTCACCTGTGGCATAATAAGAAATACCTTAGAGGAGGTATATTCTCTCCTCTGTTTCTCTCTTGGCATATTCCTACTGAACACACAGAACTTTTGACTGTAGCCAAATTACCTCACAATCAGTATTTCAACACTTTGTATATTCATTTTCCATTTCTCAACAGTTTTGGGTGTCTCCTGAAAACATAGAGGTGGGAGACAAAAAAGAAAGCGAATTCCATTTCTCTAAACTGAAGAGAAGGCAAGATATGGAAAAGAAAAGAAAAATTAGAAAAATAGAATGGATGAGGAAAATGTAAGTTGATGAAATAGACTTACTAAATATATACTGTTTTAGGTTCTTCTTAAAAAAATGGTATCACTACGAAAAGAACTGCATGTTATTTTTAAAAAGAAAATGTAAGATTATGTTTTAAACAATATTTAGATAAGCAAACACTTAACAAATGCCTGCTATCTGTGAGACGCTGTTACTCTCTGAGATATAAATGGAAAAAAGACATGCCTTTGATCCCAAGGAAATTACAGTCTATAGGAATATCAGATATGAAAATAAGGATTTACTCTTACATATCAGGTAACTTGTATTTGGCCCTCCAGATCCACTCTGTACCCTTCTCAACCCTTCTTTCTGTCCTAAGACACTGACCTAAATGGATTATGCTAAAAGTCATTCTGGACCTTTCTAACAAATGTTTAAAGCAAGCCGAAAAATCAGATTGTTTACAAGTTTACTTCACTGCATACCCAGAACAAATCCCCACAATATTTAAAGGAATACAAACACTTCAGTATCCCAAATCATATACAATTCACAATGTCTACCATATAGCATTCACTTACCAGGCATGAAAAGAAACAGGAAAATAGATCCCATTTAAGAAGAAAAATTAATTAGTAGCAACAGACCCACCAAAATATCTTTTGAAGATGAAGGTGAAAGAAACTTTTTGGACAGATAAAAGCTGAATTCTCTTATTCTGAGCAGACCAGCACTACAAGAAATTTTTCTGGCAAGAAAAAAAATGGTTCTAGGTCGAAACCTGGATCCATGAAGAACACCAAAAGTGGTAATTATGTAAGTAAATATAAACAACTTTTATTCTTACTACTTAAATCTCTTTAAAAGATAATTAACTATGGAACTGTACACTTAAAGATAGATTAGATGATAAATTTTGTGTTACATGTTTTTTACTGAACTTTTTAAAGATGGGTATTAAAGTTGTAAAGGAATGAATTAATATTGATATTACCAATCAAGTTGTACTTTAATTTTTGATCCCACAATTATATTCCTTTTTCTCTTGTATTGAAAATCTGCATTTCAAGCAAAATATAATTGCTTATTTTCCTGACATTACAATTAAATTGTTCAAAAAAACCCCAATATAATACCACTATATGATGCAATTAATCACTGAATAAAATTTTTAAAAATTTAAGTTTTTAAAGTTTTTTTACTATTTAAAGCAGAAACACCAAGAGTATGTTGTGATGTTTGTAAACTTAGAACAGTGCAAAAGTAAAATGTAGGATAATGATGCCATAAAGGTTGGGAGAGTTGAGATGGAAGTGTACTTCTAGAAGGTCCTGAGTGTGCATATGAAGTAGTATAATAGTACTTAAAGGTAGACTGTGGTTGTTAAAGATGTATATTACAAACCCCAAAGCAACCATAAAATCAACAAGAACAAAGACGTAAATATAAGAATGTAACGATGGAAATAAAATAGCATCATAAAAAACAATCAGTCCAAAAGAAGGGCAAACAAAGAGGGAAGGAAAGAACGGAGAGGACAAAGAGAAAGCAAATAGCGTGATATAGACTGAAATCAATCATATCAATGATAACTTTAAATGCAAGTGGTCTGAGCATCCCAAATAAAGGCAGAGTTTGACAGATTGGATAAGAAAACTATACACAAGGACAGAACAGTCCTAAATACTTGTTTCCTAATAACAGAGCTTCGAAGTACATGAAACAAAAACTAATAGTACCGAAAGGAGAAATAGGCAAATCCAAAATTATAATCAGAGATTTCAAAGCCCTTTCATGAGTGATTGGTAGAACAAGTGGACAGTAACTTAGTAAGGTTAGAGAAGACTTGAGCAAAACTGGACATAATTGGCATCGATAGAGCACTGTACCCCGCATGAGCACTGAATATTCTTTTCTAGTGCTGGTGAAAAATCCCACCAAGATACATTATATTCTAGGTCATAAAACAACCACAAATTTGAAAAAATTAAAATCATACAGAGGATGTTATCTGATCACAATAGAATTAAAAAGTAATTAAAAACATAAAAATGAATTAAAAGTAATAAATCAATAAAAAAAAACAGTAATAACAGAAAATTTTCTGGAAAACGTCCAACTATTTAGATATTAAATAGCATACCTCTATATAATCTATGAGTGGAAGAAGTCACAAGGGAAATTTGAAAATATTTTTGATTTAATGGAAATGAAAATACAACAAAAGTTGAAGGATGCAGCTAAAGCAGTACTTACAGAGAATTTTTACTTAAGAGAATTAAATACTTATATTTAAAAAGAAAGATCTCAGGGCACCAGTGTGGCTCAGTTGGTTAAGCATCTAACTTTGGCTCAGGTCATGATCTCATGGTTCACAGGTTCGAGCCCTGCATCAGGCTCTGTGCTGACAGCTCAGAGCCTGGAGCCTGCTTCAGATTCTGTGTCTCCCTCTCTCTCTGCCCCTCCCTTCCTGTGCTCTATCTCTCTGTCTCTCAAAAA